TTTGTTATGATTGAATGGAAACGATACGTAACCTGTCGTATATTTGCGTTTCTGGTCCCAAGGAAGTAATTATGCACCCGGCAGAGGAAAGAAGTCATTTGGAAACTTGCTGGTAGAAAAGTGTAACGAACTGTTTTAGCTGGGAAGATTTCAAGAGATGGATAAAAAGGATAAGAAAACATCAGCAATCAATCAATCAATCAATCAATCAATCAATCAATCAATCAATCAATCACAGTAGAAGCAGTGTAAGCAAGGTTGATGATGAATAACTTTTAATATTTTCATTTCATTTCAATTCGGGGGTCACATGCAACTTCCCCTCCCCCCCCCCCTTTTCAAACAACTGGCCAACCCTGCAACTACGCGTAGATAGTTTCAGTTTGCCCCTTATTCACCATCTTCCTATTCCCTTTCCCTTTCCCTACTGCTTTTTTTCTCTCCTAACCTTGGAAACAACAACAACAACAATAAAATGTGCGCTCGTCGTGAGTGGGGTATATATGTTACGAAAAATACAAAAACAAACAAAAAACTTTGTGCGCAGAAACCCTTTTCCCCTAGCTTTTTTGGTTTCCCCATCGCTACCCATAAATATCAAAAAATAAAAACAAAAAGTGGGAGACGTGTTATCGCTTTTCGTCTCGAAATCCCGGTAAAAACTTTTTTTTGTCCCGAATCTTGTTTGAAGGGGGGGTGGGGGTGTTTGACCTTGTTTTGTTTGTTGAAACACCTCCCATGGTAAGTGGGTGGTAGGTACAAAGGCATTATTAATAATCAGGCGGTGTACAGGCAGGCAAGTAGGTAGGTACTCGTAGGTAGTCCCGTCCTGCCTGTCCAACCCGAATTAGGTATCGTGTAGGCGTTCATTCATTCGCTTCTCCGTTGGAGTGAGACGGAATCGAGATGATTTGGGGGGGAAAAAGAGGGCAAGCCTCCCCCGCTCTGTCAGAGTAGAAGTGTGAAGAGGCATGGATGAAAAAGAGAAGGGTCTATAATTATTTATAGACTCATCCCCCCCAAACATGCGGAGACGGGGCCTTAGTTAGCGCCGGCTGAAAGCAGTACCGACGCGCTCGAGGAAGCCGGCGGCGCCAGAGCGCGAACCAGATGAGCTGGCAGAGCTGGCACTACCGGCGTCGCTGCTCTTGCGGCTGCTGAACATGGTGGGGTTCCGGTCGGTTGCGTCGTAGATGTTCCCTGCGCCGCCCCGGCCGACGTAGCCAACACGTCTTTGCTCTAGTTGCGATTGGAGCTTGAGCTCCTCGTCGAATGACATGACAGGTCGCTTCGCCGATACGTGAGCGTTACCGGCGCCGCCTCGTCCTGAGTGGAAGCTCGCCGTGGTTGGGGGTAGGACCTTGGGTTCGGTGGGGATTCCGCTTGATGGCGTTGTCACCGGTGCTCGGAAATAGTTTCCAGCGCCGCCACGGCCCGAATGGGTGTACGTGTTCTGCTTGATGGTCGGGTGAGGCTCTGCGATGGTGAAGCGAGGCATCTTGATGGTGGGTCTGGTTTGCGACGGGAAATAGGTGTCTGGTTTTACTAGTTCCGGTGTCGAATTATCGTCTGTTCGGAGGCTTCTGTGGTGATATACGATGTGTAATGTCCTCTTAGAAGATTTGGTGGATTTTAGGTTGTTTAGCCGTCGAGTTATCGCGACTTCGCTTGTGTATGTACCAGTAGGTTGACGGTTTTGTTGTAGGTGTAGCTTGTTAACACCAGGAGTCAGGACCACTTGGTCTCGGGGCGGAGGAGGGATGGGGCCCTTATTATAATCAACTACAGAAATCTAACACGTACTTTGTCCATCGTGAACCCGGAGGAGGGGGGGGGGGGGCGGGAGTTTCTCTTTGTCAACGTTACAACATGTGCCCTGTCCACCGAGAAAGTTGAGAAAGTTCAAGGGACGGGCATACCCCTAACTGGGTATATTTTTACGTGGGCTCTAGCCACGATTTGTGTGTCACCAGACGTATTAGTCAAGTACCTGCTACCGGAAGAGCATATGTAGCAAGCAATGCCTGGAACCTACAGTATTCTGTACAGCATGGAATAGACAAGATAGGTTACCCCTACTGTGCTGCTTAGTAGTAGAGTGTAAAAAATTTCTTAGTATGACCACGAGACAACGAATAGAATATAGTCACAAGTCCCGCCTCTTTGCTACGGAAACCAAGTCGGTTTGAGCCAAGTACGAGTAGGTACGCAGGAGGTACTTGCCAGAGTGACAAATATGACACTACCTACCCAGCTTTAGACAACCAAGGCTCAAAATGAGAGGGAAAAAATTGTGAAAAGCGCTTGGCAGGGAAAAGAAGGCAATGTAAAATGTGCAGCTTTGCAGTTAACGGCAGTAAAGTGGAATCTGGGGTAGCCGCGTGATGCACAAGCTAGTAAATCAATTAGCTAACAAAGAGTTGTCGTTACGAAATCGTGTCTTGGAAAGGTGATCATGGGACCAGGGCAGAAGTTTTTCATAGAATAACTATTACCCCATAGTTTGCCCCCTGGCCAAGGAGATGCGTGCCTGGCCTTTCTTCGGCATCCGCTGAGGCCCGCTCCAAGCCGCCTGCCCCGCGCCGCCTCGAAGGCTAATCACCACCGGCTTGGGAGAAGAGCCACTGTAATGGACAAGTCCGCGGCTTTCTAGCGTGGCCCAATGAGCAGTTCCAACGCAAACAAGACTGTATTGTTGCGCTTCCTAAAATACTTGGCGCCATAGTCGCGACTGCCCAAATTGGCTGGGAGCTTGGCAGGTCGGATGGTGCAAGAATGATGAGATCGATGCAACAAACATATGTCAGGTACAGCACACGTTTACCAGATGCCCCGCTATGACTGGTCAAAATGATCCCCAGTGCGCCCAATAAAAATTTTTCTTTTCGATAAATTTGACAAAAACAGGAAACCAGAATTTGTGCTTTCCAAATGCGGTTCTGACGACTTTTCCCTCGTCAGATGAGCAATTCCTGCAATTCCAGTGCAAACATACTAGGAGGTATTTTATGTCTCATTGAGAGATGAAGTGACACCATTGGGGATTGTTATACGAAAGACCGAAGCAATCTGGCGCCATCATTTGCAAGAGAATGTATAAGTGAAACCCTCGTTTTATCCGAGTACCTACCTATTGTTTGCCTACCGTTAGCCGGCCTTACCGGATACCAGATTCAAGAGACGAGGGATCTGCTGTCACTCGCGTCTTCCATCCCAAAGACGCGAGTTGAGGCCTTTGAATGTGCCACGTACAAGACACCTGCTCTTTGCTGTTCGCGTTTTGTTTTACCTTGACACCGTTACACGCTACTCGTATATCCTGTTTTAGTTTGTGTGACGTGACTATCATTAATACCATATGTTGGTTCTTGTAGGGCAGACTTGATGCTCGCCTGCCCCTCCAAGATTTACTCCGGGAAACGGTTGATGTGCTGTGGCTTTGCGTTTTGGAACCCCCCAAATCTTCACATTCTGTCCAAGACTGCCTGGACTGCTTGGATTGGAGGGCCTAGACCCCTAACCTTGAGGTTTTACGTGTAGGTGACTTGTCCTGTACCCCCAAGCTTTTAGAGAAAAATTTCTCCCAGTTTCCGTGTAGGCGCGTGACATTACATCATATTAGCGGAGAATCTCACAAGCTCTCAGCTGGTGTTTATTACTGTACAAGGAATAGCTTATTGCTCCCCAGGCGGCAGCTTCCGAATCTTGGCCCATCAATACACAATGGCGTGAATGGGTACCATAGGTGATTAGTAAATATGTAACTCCTCTGTCTTACAAACCACGCTGTCACCGAGGTAAGAAAGAAATACACGCCCACGGCCAAGCTGAGATGACAGACTAGAAAAACCGATGTTGACCATTCGGGCTACACAATTACTAGAGTTCTCTCAAAGAATTGTTCTGTCCTAACAAGACTGGATTATCCGCACTACCTCGGACTATCGGCTTGGTACGAGTAGGCACGGGTAGACCTTCCAGAATCAGCCCCTTTGTCCCGCATCCGATGAGAACGGCCTTCATCCCTTGATGAGCCTAGGAATGCAATAGGCCCTATTGTTCTAGGCATCAAAGGGGACTTTTATTCTACGATGGAAGTTTCGCCGAAAACTTTTCTAAGCCGCAGTTGTTATGGAAGGTCGTCGACGGTCGACATACTAGAAGACTGCCTATTTCGTGGAGCCGGCGCTTAAACCAACAAGTAGCTCCGCCGATCCGAGCCACCCCTCCTTGACTCTGAGGTCGGCATGCCGGTTGTGTACCGACCGATTAATCAGTCACGACAAGTGCCGCCCAGCAGAGACGCGAGTATTGGCTACGATGGACTGTAAAGTAGCCATCCTACAACTCCTCAGTTCCTGCCAACGGCGTGGTCATAAAACAACCCTCACATTTCCGCAAGATATTGTGTCATTGAATACTTACCAAGGAATGTGAAACTTGATGCTTCATGTTTCTCGCATATAGGTATCAGAGCGAGCGTACTGCCCTTTAACAAGCGTTTCAATATTGGGAAATCCCACCTGGACAGAAGGCCGGAAGATGACAGGGCAGACCGCCATACCGATAAATCTACTAACGTGCCCGAGGACGTGAAGCGAAACCAGTCCCCGCATAACGTCCTTCGAAAGTCTCGGCGAGAGTAGGACATAGTCACCTACCATGCCGTCGTATCTGCACTTCAGCAATGACAACAAGGTACCATGTGGAATCAGACACTGGCGAAGGAGACATCGGTTATACATTAATATCCAGTGAATATGTCCCTGGAGCATCGCAGTTAACACTCGGTAGATGCTGTGTTCCTTTCTGTTTCCTACCGAGTATCATCTACCACGGTTTACCTCAAAACCGTATGTATCTACCTCACATCATAAAACTAGAGAACCAGCCCTCATCTACATAAGTTACTAGAAGTTACCAGCAAATCCCAGTAAACTGCTTCCCAACCCAACTCTCTTGAAGTCGGATTCCCACAGCTTATGTCATCAAATCAGCTGGGTCCCATAGCTCAGTTGGTTAGAGCGTCGTACTAATATTATAAAAACAACAAGTTGTAATCTTGGTAATGCGAAGGCCGTGAGTTCGAGCCTCACTGGGACCATTCTTTTTCCTCTTCTCTGTTCTCTCTCTCTCTCCTTTTACCAAGTTGTTATGAGAGGAATCAGACCTCAGGAGACAGGTAGGCAGGATACTATTTTTTTTTAATCCAGACTAGGTAGGTTGTTCTCATAAATAGGACTGTCCTTTAATCTGTTTAGCCCCGTCACATCCCGTGAACCACGACACCCTATCTTCGATGTACTGCTCAGTCCTAGGCCGTAGTTTCGTCTGTTCATATCCAAGCGTTAGTACTTTAGGTACTTATACAAGCGGTGTCTTCGGACCGCCCGACACCCTCCAAACGCGCCCTTGAAGGAGAAATAGAAATACCTACCTACTCGGTAAAAAAAGAAAAGAAAGGGGGGGGGGGGGGGGGGGGGGGGGAAAAAAAAAAAAAAAAAAAAAAAAAAAAAAGAGGCCCGGCGCCCCGCCGAGACACCA